TTTTGCAGGCATGCACTGCATAGCAATTTTCATGTTTCCTTCTCAAAAAAGCAGAACATTGATGCTCATTTTTGGCAATCGCTATAGAAAAGGAGGGTTCAGTCCCTAATCACTCACCTAAGATCAGATTTTACAACCCTGCTCTATTTGCATCATTGCCTCACTCATTACTACTGGGCCTCCTATATGAAAAAGCTGCCTGCTCCTTCTTTAGATAAAGAAGAGAAAAACAACAACCAAATGTTCCTTTCACTTCTCCTTTTCTTTTGTTTCACAAACATCATTTTATGTCATCTAGTTATTTTCTAATCATCCGTAAGGGATTTGCATTTAGTGATGAACTGCTGGAATCTACATATTATTTCCTATCATTTTGTAACTTGGGGATTATTTCTGACACAAGGCTTTTAAGCGTACCCTGCATTGATCCATGAAACCTGAAACTCTTGAACATGCTGGGATGTTTTAGGGCAATGTGCAATAAATTATTACAATAAAGGGCATGCAGCAAAATGAGAAATGCAGATTTACTAGAAAGAGAAGACTGTAGCTCTGGGTACAAATCTTTAAAAGGATTTCTGATAAACAGCATTCTATTGTAAAAAATAAAAATGCAACCCTGGAGTTAAATAAATTCTACCCCTCTATTTGCTTCTAAGGTATGGTTCTCAGTAACGGGTTCGCATGTGTTGGAAGAAATGTCCACCTGGGATCAGTTCAGTGGTGGGTTGCTCTTACCGTTGCTACCGGTACGCTGCTTGTGGTCTGTTCGTGCACACGCCGGATGTGTGCTGTGCATGCGCCTGGTATGCACTGTGCATGATTGTGCACTCCACCGCCCCTGCAACACCCAGCTGCTCATCGGAGGTCACGCAGGCGCCGCATGCTGTGCGCGCATGCGCAACTGGCCCAGTTGATTCAAAAACAGGTATGGAACATGGGCGAGCGGGTGGGCCAAATGAGCCACCATACTGGTACGGTGGCTGCTGCTGCCGACTACTACCGGTATGGCTGTACTAGCCAGAACCCACCACTATTTCAGTTCCAAGTGGGGAGAAAGATATTGGAAACAATGATGGCTGTTTGGAAAGATGGTTTTAATGGTGGACAGGGCCACAGGGTTTGAGGTCCTGGGCGAAAGGCACATGGGGGAGGGAGAGGGGGGGGAGAGAGAGGGAGAGGGAGAGAGAGAGAGAGAGATAGAGATTTGTGCCCTCTGTGGGGCTTTGAATTTGAGCTTGTATTCTGATTGGTTGTCAGACTCCCATGGGGCCATGCAGGGGCAACTCTATAGGCTGTCCTGAACCCCAAGCTTGGTTGACTCTTGCTGGACGATGATACAATGAAAGGGCTTTGGGATTCCTATTATGGCTCTGCCTGAAGGAGGTTGATCTTTGTTATGTAGAATAGACACCCAGGCCTTAATGGCCCATTAAGGGCCATTAGCTCAGGGGCTGAGTTTCTGCCTCCCTTTTAGGGGAAATATTCTGCCCTTTTAATATTTCCTAAAATATTTCATTTTTCTAGGAGACGGGTGGGTGCTAACTTCCTACCCATGTAACACGTTGTGCTTTTTAACTATGATTTGATGAATCAATTAACAGGGCTTATAGAATACCTAAAGATATAACCAATGATTTATAAACCCCAAGGTTTGGGTTTAATTCAACTGCATCATGGCCCAAGTCCAACACATGAGCCCAGTGGGTGTGGTTGTTTTTGTTATGTATGTCAAGTAGTGGCTCATTGGCTAAGATGCTGACCATGTCGATCAGAAAGGACGGCAGTTCGGCGGTTCAAATCCCTAGCGCCACGGAACAGAGCAAGCTCCTGTTACTTGTCCCAGCTTCTGCCAACCTAGCAGTTCAAAAACATGTAAAAATGCAAGTAGAAAAATAGGAACCACCTTTGGTGGGAAGGTAACAGCGTTCCATGCGCCTTTGGTGTTTAGTCATGCCGGCCACATGACTACAGAGACATCTTCCGACAGCGCTGGCTCTTCAGCTTTGAAACGGAGATGAGCACCGCCCCATAGAGTCAGGAACAACTAGCACATATGTGCAAGGGGAACCTTTACCTTTACTTAGACACCCCTGATAGAGGGGTGGGTTGCTGCCGGCAATACTACCGGTTTGGGGGCCGTGTGCACATTTGCACCTAAAAAGGTCTGTGCATGTGCACAACGTTAGAAAAGGGAGGGGGGGGATTACATTTTTGCAATGAAGATTGTTCTGTGTATGCGCAGAACCAAAAATCAAGATGGTGCCACCGCCGATGGAACCGGTTTGGCTCCAGTTACTACCTATTTGGCCGAACCTGTAGGAACCCACCTCTGCCCTGATCTCTGCTCACAGACATGGCCATACCATCTTTAAAGATCCAGCTGAATTTTATCTCTAGAAGCAAAACACTTTCTTTTTTTTTTCTGCGTAGCTTTGTTGCGTGACTCCATTCTGGTATGAAAAATGGATCTGCAATTACAGAAAAATATGAAGGCGTATTCCTCCTCCCCTTATGTTTTTCCCAAAATTATTTTCCCAAATGCAAAACTAAAGTAAATCTTGGAGGAAAGGTCTCTCAATGACGATTAGCCAGGCTGGCTTTTTACAGTCTTCATCTTTAGGAATAATGTGCCCCTGGATGCCAGTTGTTTGACAAAAAATAGTTGTTGCTTCTTGTTTTTTGTTTTTTTTGTAGGCTTCTCGGAAACTAATCTGATCTAGCTCAATTTTTATAGGGATGGTTCTTCTGCAGCAAAGCTGTAATTGCTTTCCTATTGCTACTGCCTATCTTGTTGTTGCCTGGGTTCTGCCCTTTGGGACGATTTCCAATTTTGGATAATGGCCATGTTTGACATTTCAGTGTTAACATCTCTGCAATATCCTGCATCAATTCTACCCAGCCCATACTATCTGAACCAGCATTTCTCCTCCTCGGCAACTTTTAAAGATGTGTGGACTTCAACTCCTTCGCTGGGGAATTCTGGGAGTTGAAGTCCATGTATCTTAAAAAGTTGCTAAGGTTGAGAAACACTGGTCTGAACTAATAGTGTCAGCATTTTCTAGTTTACCTGTATTTTTTGGAGTATAAGACGTATTTTTCGGAGAATTTTCCCTCAAAAAAAAGAGGGTGAAAATCTGGGTGCATCTTATACACTGAATACAGCATTTTTTGCCTCCCAAAACCCTGCCCCCTTCACCAAAATGGCCGTGCATAGACTCTAGGAAGCTTTCAGAGTACTCCTGGGGGCTGGGGAGGGCAGAAATGAATGAAAAACAGGCCAATTTTTGCTCAATTCTGCCCCTCCCCCAGCCCCCAGGAGCACTCTACAAGCTTCCTAAAGGCTATTCATGCCCTTTTTTAAAATTTTTGACAAAAACCAGGCTGTTTTTGGGAGGTCTGCAGAGTGCAAAAACTTTTTTTTTTAATTTGCCTCTTCAAAATCTTGATGCGTCTCAGTGACGTGCAGTCAGGGGAGGCAGAGGCTCACCACTGTCATCATGAAAAGAAAAAAAAATGTAAAAGGAAAAAGGCAAGAGCTGAGGTCAGGCTGAGCTAGTTGCTG